GATCAATTAGCACTGTCCGATGAGTTTAGTTAGATCGATTAAATTTTTCCGCGAAGCTGGGTCCCCCAACCCCGGGAGCGCCGGGCGGCCGGCAGCCCTGCAGGCGGGGCGCGCCGGGCGTGCTCGTGCTCCGAACGCTTCGGGAGACGGGGCGTGTGCGGTCGCTGTCCCCTGGAGATAGACTGCGACACGGACTTCTGCCTCCGATGATCGTGGGTGCAGGTGTCCACGTTCCTTTCGTCAGCGCGGTCACCGTAGGTCCACAGAGCCAGGTGTACCGGTGGGATTAGGGGAGAAGGTGTCCTTTCTCTTGGGTTGTTATTGCTGTTGTGGTCAGAATACTTTTGTGGAAGCGAAGTGCTGACTCCATTTCTGTACCGAACAGCCTTTAACCTGTGCTTTTAAATCCTGCTCTGTCTACCTCATAGTATCATAGAATTAGGTAATTTATGTGAAATCGCTTTTGAACTGTGAAACTTCCCTGGAATATGTCAGCTATTTGTTTTGGAGATGGCCACGCGTAGTGGAGACAGAATGTCAACGCTCTAGCTTCTTTCTGGAAACAACTTCATTGTGGCTTCTGTATTTAATGATTGTTGGCACGGCTGCGTTCTCTCCATCAACGATAGAGTATGACGGAGAATGGGGGTTTTTACTAAATCATCGCCTTGAGGGTTCAGAGGTGCTGATGGGAGGTTTCAGGGCAGGACTGCTGACCTTCAGGAAGCTAATCACATTTTCTTTATCTTTGACTTTTTAAAAAATGAAGTAAATTTGCCCCAGTGCGGTAATTTCGAAGCTTTAAGTACCGAAAATTTTTTGAATGGGAAGTTGCTAAATTATTTCTGGTCTTAGGCTACTTTTCTTGTAGAATATTAATTACATGGTTAACATTTACCAAGATTTAAGGTGAAGTAGATTATGTATTTGGAGTTTTAGTATTCTGCTATTCTGTGTTTGTAAATATGAATAAGACTAAGACTATATTTTTAATGTTAACGTATACGCTGGTTATTACATACCTGCATATAGATGATTGGAATATCCTTATGGTCTTTAACTGTGGCTTCAACAGGTTTTGGCCAGCCCTTCACGTAAGCATGTGTATGTATGTTCCTTCAACATTTAGCCAATGTTTATGGAACTCCTAATGACACCCTCGCGCTCAATGCTTGTTGAGGGGCAAAGGGTGACCAAATGTGCAAAGTCTGCCTGAGGGATGTTGGGGAAGGTTTTAGAGAGAAAGTGATATTTGAATTGAGCTATGTAGGTGAATTTTTGAAGTAAAAGGGAAGGAATGCATTCTCAGCAGAAGAAAGAATTTTTGCAAGAGTATGTTGGGAAGTGGGGGAAGAACATGACTTGTTAGGAAATGATGACAACACGAATATAAGTTCAGGCAGTCTCTAGGGAGGGACGGAAGATAAAACTAAGGTAGATTGGTACCAGTTGCGGGGAGCCTTCTATGCTGAGCTAAGTGTTTGGACTTTACTCTGTGGGAAGTTCTTTGGGCCATGAAGGTTTTTGAGTAGGGGTGTGACTTAATCAGATTTTTGATTAAGAAAACTGTCACCACAATGGAGGTTAGACTCTAGAAAGGAGAGACTGGAGGCTGGGATTGTAATAGTGTGCAGTGAGTCAGCTCATGTTTCTCTAGGCCAATGTCCTTCCAAAATCAGCTGACTAAATTTTTGCAATACAGGATGTTTAAAACACAACTGAAACCTTTTCCACTAAGGACAGAGGAATTTGAGGACTCAATAAGTACCACCCACACATACCAGTTACATTAGGAGTTAAGTAGCTTTTGGTAGGATTTTTACTACCATTTATAACATTGTGTCAATGAGGAAATGCAGTATAATTTCCAAACAGCTGACTTACAGTAAATTTTTTTTTTTTTTTAAATACTGGGCTGACAAAGGTAACTTTGTTGTGAAAAATAACAAGGGGAATCAGGTATGAAACCTCTTCTGATTTTCTTTTACGGTAGTGATTATGATGCACAGACTGACTTTTTTTTTTTTAAAAAAGACTGGTATTCTAAAGAAAATGTGTTTGAAAACTTATTCATGGTGAATCGTTGTGAAATCAAGTATATAGTAAGAACTTAGGTCTTTTCTAATCTTGTTTTTAGATGACAGCAAATTATTTGAATTTGATATGTTTGTGCTCTCTAGGAGAATGCAGTCTTTTAAATTTAAAGGTGGTTTGATTTTCAAACTTTTAAGTAAAAGAGTTAATTTATAATTAAACTATGTACAAAACTAGTTGCTGGGTTCCAAGACAGTTTTCCAAAAGCACTTTAATTTTACCTTACCAAATTTGACTTTGTATCTGTTCTTCGTTAAAAATCCTGGTTTATTGTAGAATTCTCCAAAAGATGCGACCTCTACATAACTGGAAGCTTTTCTTGCTTCCACAAGCTCAAAACAAAGACATATATGGCTTTATGATATTTCTTTTTTCTCTTTGACACCTAAAACAAACTAGAGTCTTGGAGTAGTGCCCTCCTTTGAGTCAGTGCTATGGGACTGCCTCATAAATGGGTCTCGTCTTCTTGGTATCTCAGTAACTAATCCCCTATTACCTTTGAATGGGTCCAAGATAGACCCAACTAAAGTTGAATTGTATAATGTTGTGTTTTGAGAGATTATTGTAGTTTATTTTCATGTTGTGACATTGTTATTTTAGTCAGATTATTTTTCTGAAGTGATCATATGTGGGATGCTGCTTGAATCACATCTTTTAAGAGTGAATTGGGAACCTGAGAAATTCACTAAATTTTGTCAATTTTTAAACATGCAGTTGTTTATGTTTATCTTGACACAAGAATTAGGGTACTAAATATTATTATAACTAAGGAAAATATATCACTGACAAACATGTTATATGATAGGGCAAAACCCATTCCATACATGGGTCTCTTTGACACATTTTTCTTTTAATGAGATTTTTCATGAGTCAACCCATTTTAAGATGATTTCCCCTCTTCCCTTTAGTAGTTCCTTGGATCTCTTATGCAAGTCGATCCCTGGAGAGCCTGCTCCTGATTAGTCTCATTAGAATCCTATAGAATCCTGTTGTGAATATACCCTGGGCCTAACCACCTGTACCGGTTGCTTGAGAGAAGTAGTTAAGCAGTCTGTGGCATAGCAATACAATGAAATAAGGTATTGCCCTTGAAATGACAAATGTGCGGGCCATGTGGATTTGTGGAAAAGTTGATATAAAAGATGTTGATAATGATAATAAAAAGTAAGGCTCAGTTTAGGTTGTATGTGATAATTACAACTATGAAAACTATGTACGTATAGCTGTGAAGATCGGAAGAGGTTGTTTACTCAATACATATTTTATTGAATACCTATGGAACCATTGCAGGAACTACATGGGTGAGATATTGTTTTTGGTCTCCAGGAACTTTAATTCTCTAGGGCACTAAACCTTTTCTTGGTGACTGGCTGGTATGGAGAATCCAAACCCTTGATCAAGGGTCTTTTTAAATGTAAAGATGGATAAATATATATAAGTATAACATTAAAAATATAAGAGTATAGGACATAGCAGTGAAAATCATAAGTAAGTATGTTTGAAGGTAGTTATTAACATGTGATATGTGTTTATTTGGGATCAACCTTGTGAATAGAATGAAAATATGTGGCTCAAAATAATAGTGCTTTATGGATCTAATTACAAAATTTCTCTTCACGAAATACTTTGGACAATAGAATTATCTTATTCATCCTGAATGTGGAGCCAGGTTTACTTTCTACAGTGAAAATACTTAAAGGTGGCTATTTGTTTACATAATAGGCAGGGAGGAAAGGAGAAAGACCATGGTTTGGAGTTCATATGTGTTTATTTTGCAATTAGGACAAATTCTTTTACTTATTTCCTGGTATTACAGTTGCTGTTATGAAAAACAGACTTAGACTTCCTCCAAAACACAGCACATAAGAGGATCTAAGGAGTTCGAAGAAGAAAGAAGTGCAGCTATACCTTTTCCTTTCTTTTACCGTTTCACGTTTCAACTTACTTTTATCTTCAGCCAATGTTTTCTAGTGATATCACTTTTGACAGAATACTTATTCTTTCAAATTCTAATATAGTAGTTTTATTCCCTACAGAATTGATTGTATTAAGATTTTTATTTTCATTGTGAACTATATATCAGTGGTTTTCAACTGGGGCCATTTTGCCACCGGAAGACATTTGGGAGGTACTTTTAGTTGTCACAACTGGATGACGCTATTGGCATCTAGTGAGTAGAGGCCAGGATGCTACTAAACATTCTACAATGCACAGGATGGCCCCCAACAACAAAGAATTTCCCTGCCCAAAATGTCAGTAGTGCCGAGGTTGAAGCTTTGTGTAAATAATGTTAATGAACTTTCTTTGTAGTAACATGGGAAAATGTTATTTTGGTTCCCATGAGAAGGTGCTACTATTTGGAACTTAAAAAAAATTTTTAAAGGCAATTTGGGAACAATCTATGTAGGGTATGAACAGGAAAAAGGAAAAAGAAACCAGAACTATTTGAAAAAATTCCTTAGGAAGGAAGATTTTCATACAGTTTGTGTACATTATTTTTGAATAGCATTTCCCAAATATGTGCATTTGTTATGATGGCATGGCTTTAATTCGGAAAGTGGATCCTTGGATTTTAAAACCAAGAAGTCACTATCAGAATAACAGCTCTTACATACAGAAATTATTTTAGGGTGCTATATATATATATATATTTTTTTCCTTTTTGTCTTTTTTCGTGTCCGGCAACGGATCGCAACCCTCAGTGTCGCGCCCGTACCGGACCGGGACCGGCAACGGGATCGCAACCCTCGGTGTTGCGCCCGCACCTCGCTCAGCCAGTGAGCGGGAACCAGTCTGTATGTGGGATCCGAAACCTCGGCGGGCGCGCCACCGCGCTCCCAAGCGGCGCACTGTAGCAGTGCGCCACCGGGCCGGCCTTAGGGTGCTATAATTTTAAGAGCCTTTTTAAGATGAATGATTACTGTGGCATTTTGGTTTTCAAAATGAGAATTGTGTTGTAAAACAGGAAAGAAGGAAAGTTGTATCTTATATTCTTATATTTGGCTTTTATTCTTCTTTGCTAGCAATCTGGGTAAAAGAGCCATAAAAGACACAAGACTTGGTGTCTAGTGTTGGTCTGAAAGTAAGTGTGTGACCTTATAAAGTTTCTTAACCTGTTTCAAAATGAGAGCTCTTCTCATCTGCCTGCACATGAGAACTGCAAATGTCCTCTTTCCTTAGGCATTTCTTTCTCTCTGGGATGTTGGCTTCAGAGTTGTGATGAAAAAATTTCAGTTTAGTTGCATGTTGTTTAGCATCTAAGTAACAGTTGTCTGTGCCTAGCAGCATATATATTCTTGCCATAATGGTTTACTTCAAGAAACTTTTGATTTTGAGATACAGAATCACAGGAAGTTGTAAAGAAATGTACAGGGTGATTTACTTTCTATCACACAGAGCTTCTGATGTGTTACCCATTGAAAGTATTTTGTCTATTCCTGCCACCACTTCTGGATTGACTGGTACAAGAAAAATACTGTATAAAAGATAAAAAGTGGTATACACTTGTATAGGGTACTTACTGTGAATGGAGCTTGCAGGACTGGAAGTTGCTCTGGGTGAATCAGTGAATAAGTGAATGTGAAGGACGGGGACATTACTACACACTACTGTAGACTCTATAAATACTGTGCACTTAGGCTATGACAAATTTATAAAAGAAAAAGCAGTTGAGCTATGATGTTACAACAGCTCTGACATCACTAGATAATAGTAATTTTTCAGCTCCATTATAATCGTATAGGACCAGCATCCTATATGCGGTCCATTGTTGACCGAAGTGTCGTTTAGTGATGCATGACTGTACTGGAGTCCATTCCTTATTGTTTTATGTACAGTTGTGCATCGCATAATGCCATTGTGGTCAACTACGGACCTCAGTTACAATGTTGGTTCCATAAGATTTTTTTTTTGGTCCATAAGTGTTGGGCCATGTTGCGGCGCAATCAAATCATAAGGCGCCTGCCTAAGTATGGTTCCTGTTCCCTAAAATAGATCAAGCGGTGGCCATCTTGCTGGCGTAAGGCCTCCGCCGCCGTTTCACGAGCGCTTTAATGCACGTAGCTAGAAGTCCAGCATTATTAATACTGAAGGTGTTATGGATATATGTTGCAACATTTTGTAAGGTTTTTAAATATCTGTTTTAATATAAATGTTACCAGTCAAGATTATAGCCCTATATTTTGTCAGAAATTTGTAGATTTGGTT